CTAAGACTTTGTTTCTGCTGGCACAGCACTTGATCAATGTAATTCTCATCAATTAGTTAGAGAGCTTTCCAAAAGGGGAAAAAAGTTTTTGCACTCTGCAAACCTCCTAAAAATGGCACCTCTGAAGTGTAATACATGCCTTTATTTATTTCCATAGAACTTTATGCTTTGAAGTCTGAGTTACGTGCTAACAGATAAAGATTCCTTTATTAGCTCTCACAATTACGTGGCTATTATGCTTTGTGCTAACAAAAATTCCTTGTCATTTGTAACACATAGGTGCTGTTTGCTCTCACAATTACGTGGCTATTATGTTTTATACTGACCATCACCAACGTTTTCCCTTCAGATACAAGAGCTTATGGTTATTTAGCTCGGACTGACAGCAAAGGTGATGTCATAAGCAAGGCACCCTGGTTTCGATTTCCTTACCCAGGTATTTTTATGATGATGCTCTTTCCTGTTTAGCATAGCAAAAAAACGGGAGAAATTTTCAGTTTCTTCTATGCAAAAATATGTTTATGTTGTGGCCCATTAGATCTGGAGCTCCCCATTGTATCCAATTTCTTCATCACTTATGTCCAAGCTATTTGACCTTTTTAAATGTCTGCATTCCTTGGGAGTAATTTTTGATCCGTACTACTTCCTGTAAGTAAGCATCCTAAACAATGAAAAAATCCCAGTGCAGAAGCAGATAAGAAACAAAGAGACTCCACCACTTTTCTAATATCTTTCCGCTTCCCATTTGGATCTGTCTTTGCTTTGGACATTAAAAAATATGATTGTTATGATGTATAGAGTTTTCCCAAAAAGTGTTTAGATAAACTGTTGGAACAATCTCTTATCTTTTTATTTAAATGCAAGAATATACATGAGACTAGGGTACAATACTGATATAAGATTTTACAAGTTATTTACAAGGAGTTGCTAACAGTACATGCTTTTAGCTTTCCTGAATTTTGCAAATCAAAAACTGCAGGTAAATTTATGAGTTTCATATCTTCAATTTTAGCATGCTTGTTTCTTCTATTTAGGCCAGTGGGGAGTGCCCACAATTAGTTTGGCTGGTGTATTTGGCATCTTAGCTGGAGTGATCTCCTCCATGGTGGAGTCAGTTGGAGATTACTATGCCTGTGCTCGTTTGTCTGGTGCTCCACCCCCTCCCAAGCACGCAATCAATCGTGGAATTGGCGTAGAAGGGATTGGCTGCCTTCTGGCTGGAGCCTGGGGAACAGGAAATGGTACCACTTCTTACAGTGAAAACGTTGGAGCTTTGGGGATCACTCGGGTAGGTCTGATTCTGAATGATCAAAACCAAAAGTGGCCGTGTGTGACTAGAAACAATTGAAGAAAAGTCTGTGCATCTTCTGCTTAGGATAAGGTGACCAGATTTTCAGATTGGTAAAGAGGGACACCTNCTTACTAGGGCTTTATAGAGTGGTATTAGTTGTACCTCACTTGATCTTGATTGTATACCTCTGTTAATGCAATTTAGGATGGCATTGGCTGCTTTTTTTATTAGAATGTAGTCCAGAATTACAAGAAGGGAAGGGTTCTTTCCTCAGGGAGCAAGGAGACAATAGCTTGGAATCTTTGATATACAGGAAAAGGCTGAAGGTGAAACCCCTCACCCCTCCACACACATCAGTTCATAGGATATATAAAGTACTTTATTTGGGCAAGTGTAATTAAACACACTTGTCTCCAGTGCAGATAGTTATCATGGGTAACTGCTTTAGTCTTGCAAGATCAATGGAACCAAGGAACCAAGACTGTTAGGAAGAGTTGCTTCAGAATAGTTTCTTTTTTATTCTCTCCTATAGACAGGAATCTTGCTGATCTAAAGCACTTATCTGCAATAACTATTAGATATGTGGAGGAGAAGGGTATGACTTCGCCCCTTTCTTGCATACCAATAATTCCAAGCTATGTTGTCCCTTTACTCCCTGGAAAAGAGCCCTCCCCCTCATGTGACTCGACTATATTCCATCATATTGTGAATATTACAAGAAACATGAATTAAATAAGGAAATTCCATTGTGTAGACAATGGACATTCTGTTTTTAACTAAGTGTTTGATACATTAATATTTGCAAACATCAGCAATGAAATTATTAAGTGTGAAGGTATTACATTAATTTCTGAATTGGAATGTTATTAATGGAAACCTTTTTTCTCTTTTTTATCACTTTAGAACAATTTTCTTCATAGTTTTATTCTCTCAGTATCTGAAAAATGTGCCTGTTCCACTACCATCTTATACAAAAAGCAAAAAATGCCATTTCTCCAAGATCTACCTCTTCCAGATCTTTCCAGTGAGTAAACTCTAATGATATTTGAGTACCGTATTTTTGGAGTATAAGACGCACCGGAGTATAAGATGCACCAAGGTTTTGAAGAGACAAATTTTAAAAAAGTAGGTAGGTAGAGAGAGGTATAGAGGGGGAGAGAAAGAGAGAGAAATATAGTAGGTAGGGAGGGAGGGAGGGAGAGTAGTTAGTTAGTTAGTTAGTTAGGTAGATAAAGGAAGAGAGAGAGAGAGAGAGAGAAA